AGAAAACTGCGAACTCTTTTCAGATGTGTAGACATCTGCTCTATAAACTGCACTTCTGTATTCATTTTGGTCAAGGACTGCATCCACATGATTGAAGTGCACACTACTGTACCCAACTAGTATGAAATGAAGCTTTTTTTGTTTTTTTAGCCCTAAGCAACATCTTACAGCCTTTGTATACATAACACAATATAAAAATAGTTTCTCATTAGGATACTTGAATACTAATTATTTAAAATATCAGATACTCTGTCTTTCTCTTAAATCTTTTTACAGCTCTAGAATGATATGTGCACTTGGTCTTCCCACATTGCCATGGCACATCTCTAACTTGGATATTGTATTTTTCAAGTTGCATTGCCTGTTCTTTCCACATCCAACAAGGGCCCCTGCAACAGCCTGAGCATGGTAACCATAGTCTCACTGGGCTTGTTCAGGTTTAGCTAAGCCTCAAATTAGCTGTATGAGAATTTCCGGCTTTCCCATATCAGAGATAACATTTCACATTTAATAGACCACATGCTGTATTCATAGTTTGTCTACATGGTTGTTGGTGAAACTTCAAGCCTAGGAGATCTACGGTCTGTCTCATCAAACACTCTCTAAGCTTGAGCAGGCAAGACTGTGATGGCCTGTATAGTTGTGTACCAAGTCATACAAAAAAATTTAAGTGGCACACCCTGTACTGAGGTGCCAATTGATCTGTGCAGTGCTGCATAAAGTCAAACAAGCCTACTGTACTTTGTCACCTTGTAGTCAATTTGTATTAAAATAAAATTTAACAATAACCTATATTATTGAGGGTTCATGTTGGTGTGAGGCCCTGTGATTACAATATTATACACATGATAATAGCATGAAGAGTACTCTGTTAATAATGAAAAGCAGAATGAAATTTCCTATTATTACCATAATAGTGAGCTCAGGAGAGCTGTCACTTCATTTTTGCTGGTTCTCTTCTAGGGGTAACTGAAAGCTGCTTGAGGCACCCACAGAAGTTGCGAATAAAAAATGTGCTTTCATGCATTTCAAGCAGTTCTCTATAAAACCTATGTATATCATTGGCTTAACATTACACCATAGGCTTGGCACTGTTTTACAGATTATTTTAGGATACAAATTTTATGTCACTTTATATGTACTCTGTATATGTATGTGTTTTGTAGCATTTCCCTGTTTCTTGAAGAGTACACCAGCTTGTGTGTCTGCTCTACTTGTGTACTAGGCTACTCTGAAGATCAGATTTCTTTCAAAGTAAACCTGCTGACTGACCTGATTACACTGCCAGTGAGTTTAAAATGTGGTAGTAAAAGTGTGTTTTTGTTTGTTTGTTTGTTTGTTTGAAAGAACATTCAGTTCAGAAACTTTTAAGTGGTCGCTCGTGACTTCCTGTTTCACTGGAGCATAACTTTAAGATGACATTCAGGCCAAACGTCCTTAGGCAGTGTTTCAAATGGCTACCTACTCCCTATGTAGGGCACTACATGGGTCATGAAACAATTGATTCAGTGCCCATATGGTGCACTGTATGTCCACAAGAGCCATTTGGATTTCAGCCTTAGTCATCCATTAACGTGACGAATACATGAGATAGAAGGTTGCTGACAAACATAAATCATATCCTATCATATCATAAGGTAAGGGTTGTAATATATTAAACTTGTAAACAAACAAGTATTAAATATTCAAATGAAATTGCTATACCTGTTGCCTTGAACTTGATTTAAGCCCTTGGATAATTGCTACAGAAAATCTCAATAATCATAGTTAAAACATGTGGTTGTACATGTGTACAAAATCATATTGAGTCATAATTTGTAATTTTGTACATTTTAACCTGTGCAAAGTCACAGCATGTCCCTTTAAAGGGGTCATTTTCAGTACACTTGTTATATTGTTCTAGTTCAGAGCAATATGCACTGTCTCTGATTTAGCAAAACACTCCATGTACTTTAGACTACAAACTTTTTTTTTTAACTATGTTACTTTTAAACCTCTATAGTGAATGCACTGAGAAGGATACACATATCAGTTTCATAGTATTACATATGTAATTTAGTTTCACCCGTACAGATGAGATTTGGGCTCCCTAAACTGAAATCGCCTTTCTGGAAGCAATCTGACACCTGTTGCCCAAAGAATGCTCTGCTCCAGGAGTCAGACTTCCTGGTATTTGGCACTTTTAGATGAGGTTCACTGCCATTGTTGTGAAGGAACCAAAGACTGTTTTTAAAACTGTTTCATTGTACAAAAATGCTGTATAGAACCTCCAAAACAGCAAAAGAATTCACAAAGTCTGTTACTAAATATGTAATACGTAAAATATGTAAGATTGCTTTTTGAGTAGTGATTAATATTCTAAAAGTGACTGTAGCCTAATATTTATTGCAACAGTCTCTCACTACACGACTGTGATTCACTCACACTCGTTTGTTTCTGTACTTACTATAACCCTCTAGTATAACCAAAACTCCAACCTCTATTCATGTGAATTCAAGAGAATGTAAAAAGCTTTATTGAAAGATATCCAAAATTGCATTTCCACTTCAAATCCTTATATCAATAGGGTTTAGGCAGAATCCTGTCTGATTACATTTTCTGCTAATCTCCCTTTTTTTAGGAAACAAGCCATTCCAAGAGAAGTTGAGTCTGATGACGAAGAGAGGCTGGCTAAGCTTGGGTTTTCATCATCACTCTGCTCAGGTCAGAAGACTCATTTAATGACAATGGAAATGTAAGTGGAGGACAATGTCATTTCCATTCTCCCACGCTTCGCCCTTAGAGACCTGCAACGGGGAAAGATCAGTTTTCTCTCATGTTGTCTCATTTGCTCAGGGGCGTATTTCTTGTTAAAATTTGTTAGGGCTCTGGGCTCCACACTACTGCAAAAATAATCAAAGCTTGGCAAGTGAAATCATCTTAAATCTAGTTAATGTGTCTAATGCTTCTCATGTGAAGGCTGATGTAAGGTTATTATAAGATTATTTAACTTATTTCTAGACATTTTTACGTAATTAATAATATTAAATGAAATGTCTCACTATATTGTCAGATAATGTTGCTTGTTTTAAAAAAATAATGCTTAAAACAGGCAACATTGTCTGCCAATATGACTTGATACAGAGTAACACCGACATAATGCGTAATGAGATTACTTTAATAAGTAACATAATTTCATTACATTTTGAGATTTCTTTTGATTACTTTTTGAGTAATTGCCCCAATCCTAGAGCTATCCATACAAACATTAACAATGGCATTATGTACAGTCTGCTGAGCCTGTGTTGCACTGAAAAATGAAACAAACTTTTTGCTTTCCTCACTATTTTTGCATTTTTCTGCTGTACTTGGATGCCTATTTGATTTTCCCAAAAAATATCTCATTGCAGAACCTCCACTCCTTAATGCAGACTATCACCTATTTGTCTTTTTCATATGAGTCTGTCTTTATGCATTTGTAACATCACATAACAACATAGAATAGTCCTTTATAACCATGAGCATGGGGAGGAGCGGCATTGTTATTACTGATATTACATAAGTGAATTTTCTGTTTAATTTCTTAAATTAACACCAGAGCTGTTAGAATGTTTGGGGAATTTGGTGGGGGAAAAAAAATGTTGCAAGTCTTTCTAGGGTTGCCAAAAGCAAAACTTTTTATTATCTAGGATCTATTTTAAGTGATTTTTCCATCCAACCGATTTAGGTGTGAATGTTAAAACTTGAACTACTTTACTTGGAATATTACAATTAGGTGTGAAACAATACTGCTTATAAAAATTATGTGTAGGTATTTGCGTTTAGGAATGGACTTCTGTTATAAATTGTTGTATAAAAATAGCCCCCTCAAGGCAACATCATTCATGCATTAAGCTTTTTTATGAGTGCTCCCGGTCACCCTACACCATCCACACAAACCAAAGAGACTAGCTTCTGGGCAACATTAGCAAATTTTGTAACTCACAATACATAGTCCTTTGAATGTTTAAAGTACCTCAAAATTAAAGCAGCATAGATAGCTTACTGAGACCCACTGAACATGATCTTTGTTTTAGTATAGTGGTGTTACAAGTGTTTCACACCTGGCATCTAGCCCTGTTTGTGGATTGCATGATACAACTCAGACAAAGGTGTCCTTCAGCGTGACCTCGAGGATAAGCAGCAGTCTTGGAGACATAGAATGCAGGATATGGAGCTAAATTTTGTGGAAAAGGGCGCACTGTGTTTCCACCGCGGCACCTGCAGCTTCCTGCATACAAAGAAAGAGGTTTTCAGTAAACAACTCACATATGGGGGCAGGTCGGGGGAAGGGAGGCGAGTGAACAGCGATAAAACAAATGGTTTAATATTTTGGTAATATTGTGCAGTATTATATCACGTCATGACTTATTGCAATATCCATGTAAAGTAGTTTATGTGCTATTTTGTATATGTGCCTTTAGAAACACTTGTAAATGTTTTTTAGCATCTTTATCAATATTCAAAATCTGTCATGTGAAATATTTTTTTCTTTCCATAATGTGATGAAATGTCTTTCAGTCTTTGTTTTAATAAATTAACCCCTTAGAAGATCTCATTGACATCGTCACATTCTCAGAAAGCAGGCTGAAGCTGTTTTTGCATGCTCACCCTGTTGCAACAGCCTGGCTAACTGGTTTGTCCAGCCAAACCTACATGCAACACATGGTCATTTGAAAAGAAACAACACTCTTCTGATCTTATGTTTACAGCAAAAGCAGATTACCTCAGTTTAGGGTTTATGGAAAAAAGCTAGATAAGGTTTCACTCAATTTATTTGTGTATGTTTGTGTTATGCCATAGTACCATATACTAGATAAAATACCTAAATTAAAACCATAAAAACATATGTTGGAAACTTTGTATCTTGACGGATTTTCTTACCAAAAAAAAAAAAAATTTAATGGAAAAGTAAAAGTAAATATAAATCTCTGGCTACATTTGTTTGGAATTTCAAAGCTGGCCTGTTGTGTTTTACATGAATAATAAATGAAGAAGAAAGAAAATTAAAAATTACATGTTTTGCTCTCTGTGAAACATCCTTATTTGATCAGTATTTCAGGGCTAGTGGTCTGAAATAATACAGGTCCTTTGACAATAACATGACTATATTGTTGCTGTCCTAACAAACCACATCTCCAAAATGGTAACTTTACAGGAGAAAGCATAAACATGTTACGTTACAACTTTTATTCATTGCTGTTTTACCTTTAAAAAAACAACACAGTGGAGGTTTCAGACCTGATAATAAAAAACATCCACACTTAGCTATGAGTAACTAGAGTGTACTATAAATGCCACAAGTAATCTCTAAGATATGTATGGTACCACAACATGGGCAATTGTTCACATTATCACATTCCACAATATCAGTCCCAGGTTGAAATTCTGATTAGTTCAGCCAAAATCCAAACATTGCAGAAAGCATAAATGTAAGGTAATTTGTGATCCTAAAGTGAGTTTGTGATGAAGGACAAGGTTCCTATGAATTGCATCAACTGCTCTCTATGAAGTTTTGTAGCGGCCCTTACTATGAAATTACCAATCATCCTTAGCTACTGAACGTTCTGAATGCCTTTTCATATCAACAGCATAAATCCCTTTGTCATTAAGGACAATCTGTCCTTAATGAATAAAAACTGAATGTGAACTTCTGTCAAACACTGATTTGGCATGTGAGTTACTGTTTCATTCTGGTGGCTGCGTATAAGCGTATATCCTTATGATTTTTCCAAGGGGATGGTGAATACTCCATGATTTTTATAGAGTGTGTGAGATCGTTAGGACAGCTGTCCATGCAGAGCTGTCCATCATTCATCTTGAGTTTCCTTCCAATGCAGCATGAACAAACCACTTCCTCTCCTAATAGTCTCAATAGGCTTAAGTCAAAGGTCACCCAAGAGTTGAACAGCTTCCCAAATTTCCCAGCCCCATTAATTGGTCCAGACCCAAATAGTGTTTTCCATCGTTAAAAAAAGAAAAAAAAAATATTTCCAGCATAGGGCTTATTTTCCCTACCCGTCAGTTTCTTCTGTCACAGCTTGAAGATGGAAAGTAGTTTCTGCTGCAGAACTTCCCTCATCAAGAACTGAGCAGGCAGCTGTCCATGTAAAATGGATATTCATGTTCTTGAGTTTCAAATAATCAGATATCAGCTTTCAATACTGGATTAATCAACCATCCTTTTTCTCCAGTTTGCCTCTGTGATTTCTAAGGTAGAAAATAATCATATTGTTGACTGACTGATCACAGAGGGCAGAATTTCCACTTTGGCATTACCTCCAGACTCCATCTGGTATGCCTGCAAAAATGAAAGTGAATAAATAAAGTGATTCTGTTATATGAATGAATACAAAGTTTCTAGCTTTTCATATACTCATGACTAAAATACCATTCCCAGTTAAAATTTATTTTGGCCACAATCCAGACAAGGCTGATGTCTGTAAACATGACAATAAGTCTGTGAACATCACAATGAGTTTCTTCCTAACATCTGACATTTACCGATTTATTTCTGCTCTCTGCAGTGTTTTAGGTCTGTATCTGAAAGGGAATGAGTACAAATTGTAAGTGGGATGGTCCTGATAAACCTGCCATCCATTAATATCCAATATAATGACTTCAATCGATTTCAAGGAATAAAAATAAAAGCTGGGAACAAGCAGTAGTTTGCCAGGAACAGAAATGCTTTTGGTAAGCCCCAAAGAATATTTCACGTGGCTGTTTTAGAAACAAACAGGCAGCAGTGTTGTTTCAATGTTCTGAGATTGTTTATTATTATCCAATAAGTAATGCTAGAAATGAGCACAATTATCTACCAGTGAAATGAGATCATTTCACACAGATAAAAATGACATAAATCAAGTAAAAATGTTTAGATATAGGTAAAATAATCTTACAATCGTATAATAAGAAATAGATACATTGATTACAGGATTATTTCAATTGCCAAGATATCATTTTTCACTGTATTTCTTTCTATTTTCTCAGTGCCATCATGAACTACAAAGGCAAGACAGGAGTAAAGTTAACATTTTCATTGGTAACCAATGCTACTGTGGTGTTTTCCCTACTATGACCAGTTTAGATGCACACAAGAAAGAAATTTGGCATGATATTTAGTGTTGAATGAATTTCTGTTATTTTCTGTAAAATATGTCCTACCCTTTTCTGACACAAAAAAATAAATGACTTGTCCTTAATAGTAGTTAAGTTGTACACAGTACTGAACTACGAAAGTGATGATCTGTTTAAGAACGTTAATTTGTCAATAGAGAGAATGTGGATCTAAAATCCATACGAACCAGCCTTCAAAAGCCTTGCAAATTGTAAGTCAAGTAACTTACTTGATGGTTCTCGCCATGGCTATTGGAGTCAGTGGTTCTTGGGGAGAAGAAGGGGTCCTGTTGGCTGGCACTCTCAATGCGTGCCCGTCCAGGGTTACTATCCCCCACCCCATTGGCCTTGTGGACACAGAGGACTTTCTGGAAGCTCTGCTTAAAGTTGTCAGATAGGAAGCCATAGAGAATAGGATTGGCACAGCTATTCATATATGTCAAGATAACACTGAGAAAGTAGACACCATCCATCTTGGTTGGGAGGAAGATGAAAACATTCACAATGTTGAGGATGAAGAACGGAAGCCAGCAGAGCACAAACACAACCACAATGATCACCACCATGCGTGTCACCTTCCTTTCTGATTTGCGTCGTTTGGCGAGTCCTGCTCGGGCTCCAGCTGACTTTACTTTGACAACGATGAGGAGGTAGCTTATGCATATGACCAACAAAGGGCAGAAGAATCCTAAGATGGCAGTGTAAAGTATGAAGGCCATTGACCACATGGTCCTTGGTTCTGGCCAGCTTATGTTGCAGGTGTTATGTCCAGCTTGAACATTTGCATAAATGATGACTGGAAGTGCCAAAATACAGGACAGAGCCCAAACCATACAGTTTATGACCTTAGCAACACTTGGCCGCCGCCATTTTGCACTGCGGATGGGATGAACCACAGCCATGTAACGGTCAATACTCATTACTGTCAAACAAAAGGTGCTGGTGAACTGGCTGACGGTGTCTGCACACATCATAACACGGCACAGAAAGCTACCAAATGGCCAGTAGTTGAGTAAATTGTGAGTGGTTTGGAAAGGAAGTCCAAGTACATACAGCTCATCAGCTACTGCCAAGTTTAAGATATACATGTTGGTAACGGTCTTCATCTTAGCATATCGCAGAACCACAAAGATAACTAATGTATTCCCAGTCAAGCCCAGTATGAACACAATGAGGTAAATTACAGCCAGGATCTTATTACTGTCACTATCAATGCTTGCGGTAAAAGACGTATTTCCGTCTTGATCATGGAGGGAAGATTGGTTCAGATAATCAAAAACAGACGTGTTCCCCTGGGTCTCCATCTTTGGAACACAATGAAGGTTTGAAGAACAGGAACTCTTGTGGCTGGGCAATCAAAATTCTAGAAAAAAGATGCAGAGGTTATTATGCAATTAGAATATATATATATATATATATATATATATATATATATATATATATATATATATTCTAATATGACAAAATGACAAAACCTGTATCTCCAAAATAGTAATGAATGAAATACATTGTAAAGGCTAGCTGGTAGGGATGTATAACCATTGGCAGGCCTGAGCCTACCCAGGTTGATCACAGGATTACCCAGTGAAATTGGGGAAAAATGTTTATTAAGCTGAATTTTTAAAGATTTGATTTGTTTCTTAAAAGTGCTGTTGCTGTATTACATCAAAATGACAACTAAGATCTCCACCAAGCTCCACCTTATTTTCTCAGACCTCCAATCACTGTCTAGCAACTGTCACTATCTGCCATAGCCTTAAACCCGTTTTGTTCGTTATCAGCATCTGTCATGTCCATAACTAGCATGAGAACACCAAGGTCCTTGATAGTTTCAGGGTGGTTTAATGAGATTCAATAAAGGAAACAGCGACAAAACTTCCCAATCAGCAGTGACTGGTTCTTGGCTGACAGAGGTTTGGGCATAGACTAAATGTACATGCAACATACTATTGGCTGACACACAACATAGCTATGAAAAAATGTGAGCTTATGAGAGTAATTAATAGATTAATTGCTTGTAAAATGCAATTGACATAAAATGAATGTAAACATATCACTTTTGCACTCATGCATTTTCAGAAAACATTTTTATGTCCACCATGGCATGCCCAGACGATGGTTAGGTTTAGGTTTTTCAAGTTTGCTATGTTGTTTTTTCTCTTTGAACATCTTAGCTGCCTGATTTTACCTTAATAGTTATGTTCTCTTCATTGGGGAAACGTTGTTCCTGTTGTGAGCACTGTTAGATGGGTTTATGTGAATCCGGCATTGTGGTTGATGTGCATACAGTCTTGTTATTGTGTTGCAGTAGGGCAGAAGCATTGGAAAAAAAATATAATGATGACTGCTCCACTGTCAGCAATAGTCTATAGCCTATTTTTTTACCTATTTACCTACTTTTTTTACTCATATATATGTATACACACACACACACACACACACACACACACACACAGTACTGTAAAAAAGTCAGACACCACCATTTTGTTTGTTTCATATCCAGTCAAAAAACTAAGTAAAAGCTTTAAAAAGCAATCAGAAAAAGCAGGAAACAGAATTTCTTTAACATAAAATTATCCTAAGTTGTCACGAACATAATGTTCCCCTTCAAAGAGACCAAAGGATATATTTCTGAGGTATTTAGAGTAGTGATGCACTGATACCTACAAGTACATTTTTAGTAGCTACTCCTCGAAACCAAGTCTGATATCGTACTGAGTAACCTACACAGAATTAGTGGTTCTTAGTGTAAATTAGAACAATGTAGCCAACCTTAACAGTTAAACAATTTAAATCTAGCTCATTTTAAATGACATGCATTAGCTAGGTATGCTACATTAGTTGGATCGAGTAACACTGCAGTGAAGAAGACTGGGTTTTGTTCTTTGTCAGAAAAGCTTCTATACAGCTGTCTCTTTCAACAACAGATTTTTGATTTGAATTGAATATATTCTGATTCTAGATTAAGACCGAGGTGTTGATATGCACACTATACTGAACAATCTGATGGGAAGTCTATGTTTACATGCACACTACAAATAATCTGAACCAAAATTACGTCCATGCATAGAGTACCACTTAGTGTAGACATTACCATGACAATGAGCATCACGTGAGTCCAGTCAGACGAGTAGCAGTGTGTTACCTTAGCCTGAGTTTTCAGCTGGCGCGCTTGTGTTTTTATTTACTTTAAACTTATGGCAGACTCAGGAAAACATACTTCACATGTACTTATTAAAGAAGAAGAGAGAGGAAGACATTATGTTGACACATCAGCTAGACACCAGTCACACTTCCATGTTTTAAAGTACAAAGCATAAACTTTGTCTCCTCTGCAGACCAGTTTCTGGCTCCCGCCATGTTGAACTTTCACTATGATGCAAATGCACAGGTGCAAACTATACTTAAACTTTGCAATATGTGTTTGAGCTGTAGCTGAATGCCCTCTAAAGTCAAGACAACATTGTGCAATTTTAGAAATCCTTTTATTTGGTGACTCGCACTATATGTTTGAATATTCCATCGTGTTTAGACAAAGTCTACGATTCATATACTTACAAAGCACAAACAAGCTCTGTCCATGAACAATTTCAAATGAAGCTTTTTCATTCAAAATAACACGTTGCACATCAAGTACGGGAGCATAGAGATACTGCTAACACTGAGCACTGAAGATAAAGCAGGTGGTAACGTACATGGTAGGACAATAAAGCCTATTTTACAAAAAAAATAACATATTAATGTTTATACCTCACTGTTCTATGGGTCACATGGCATCAGCTGGTGTCGGAATGCTGGTATCGATGAGTTTTTAGGAGTATGAGTAAATAAGCACAATTTTGGCCTGATACCCAATACTAGTATTGGTATCGATGCATCCCTAATTTAGAGCTAAAATAGTCCGCTTGCATGAAGGAGAAAGTAAAATGCAAATAAAAGAAAAGCAAGAGTTTCCAAAACTGGAGTTCAAAAAATGATTAAAAAACACAGAGAATATGGGACTCCTAACAGCTGTGCAAGACCTGGTAGAAAAGGCTAAAAGAAGAGAGTTTGCATCTGAAAAGTCTAAATTTGGATATTTTAAATTGGGCTAACATGGATTGTGAGTAGCAAGCTGTAACAAAGGTAATACTGATATTATATGCAGTTGCTGAGGTATATTTTTTTCTGCTTTTTAACTGATGCTGAAAAATGAATAACTTAATACATAATGGCTGGAATGGATTTGACTGGCCTCTGACTTTTGCACAGATATTAAAAGGCCTCTCTCTCTCTCTCTCTCTCTCTCTCTCTCTCTCTCTCTCTATATATATATATATATATATATATATACATATATACACACACACACACACACACTTTTGTGTGCAAGACAAGGGTTACTCTGTGTCTGGAGCGCCTGGAAAACCATCCCCCAGTGCAGATTTATTAGGAGTTTACATGACCTTGACTAAAGTGCCTATTCTCCCTGGAGATGAAGCATGCAAGGGAACAGGGCAACAGAAACTATTGTAAAAATACATTGGTTGACGTTGAAATTCTATGAACCACAAATCAAAACACAGAGCTAACGATGCCATTGTTGTGAGTACAAACAGTACATTGCAGATAGAGGCTGGTTCATAGAAACCTCTTAAGTTTACATCGTATTAGTGAATATTTAACTTTACACCTCTATAGTAAAGTTTCACTTTGAAAAAACAAGAGAGACAGGAGATAAACTACGATTTATGGGTCGCACGGTGTATATGCATGAAAAATACACGACAGTGCAAAATTGTTTCCAGATGTTCAGATAATTACAACCCATAATTAGATATCTGCCACAGTAATCAATTATAAGGACATTTAATTGTGTACATGTGTGTTTCAAGCTATAATGATTACATGCGTGTGCAGTCAAGCATTGAGCGCAGATTCTCGGAGCGTGTGAAATTTTAGATACTCAGTGGCCATCCGCAAGTAAACTGCACATTTGGGTACTCGTCGGCCCATTGTTTAAGTAGAGCCCAGAGGGACTTCGAACGACCTCTTCCCACAGCAGTTACGTATGGCTGAGAAGTGGAGTAATTAATTGCAACAGTCAGTCCCAGATCTTTTGCTATGTTGTGTACAAACGATGCATTGGTATACATCATGCCATTATGTACACATGCCAGCCTTATCCTCGTGAATTTAGAGTCAGGTCGTAATGTCTTAATTTAATTATTTGTAATACTTACATAAATCGCTGTCCATGGTACCCTAGCTTTTGTTTTTGGTTCCACTTCACAGTGACTAAGAAACGCTTCTTCTTCTTACCGTAGTTGTCGATTATACACAGGTTATACCCGTCAATGCGAGTTGTTGTCGCACCACTAGAGTTCCAGCAAAAACAAAAAAAACAAACAAACAAAAAAAAAAAACAAAAACAACAACAACAAAAAGTGCAGGTATATATATAAAAGAAAGAAAACAACGCACGACGTCTCACGAAGGGTGAGTGCTCTGATCTCCGCTGCCTGTCTTTAAGTTGTAGGGTTGGGTCTGCGAGTCATGAAAAATACGGCGTTGCAAGAACCAAAAAATCTACACAAATCGCTCGTTCCGTTCTCATTTTATTATACTACAGGAATCAGATGTCACGTTCTAATGTCATGTTTGAATGTATTCGCATTTTCGTAAAGGTTAATCCGTTCGTGTATCCAGACCATTGAGTTATGCTGCTGCGTTGCAGAGCTCTCTGCGTTCAGGCAGACAGTTGCTTGTTGGGTTCAGTGGAAAAGTCGGAGGCTGGTATTTATCTAGACAAGTGGCATGACACAGTTCCTGGCGCGTCGCTTTGTATGCAAGGACGTATCACTTTTAATAGCACAGGGATTTGAGGCATGAGAAGCTGTTTTACTTCTGACACAGCTTTACTTTTTTTGAGAAAGCTGATTTGGAGTTCCTTTTCATTAAGATACAAGTATGTATGTATTGTATTCATAACCAATAAGAAGAAAAGTTTCTTCAATCCCAAAAGAATGTAGAAACCATAGGTTAGTCATTCTTATAAATGCAGGTGAAACGTAGCCCGTAAATTTATGTCTTTATTTTGTTTTGAAACTACAGAAACGTGTTGTTTCATATATACCCGTTAAAGCTACTACTGCACTGTTTTGCTTCTTGTAGTACACTACAGTACTCTGATAGACTTTACTGATAATTCAGCATGTTGACTATTTTATTTAATCTTGATTTTATTTTATTTATCGGCCTCCTACCTTACTGGGTGACTTTATTATCTGTGTGAAAGTTGAGGGACATTTTAAAAGCAATATGCTGAGTGAGTAATACCTGCTATTTTATCTCTTGAAGAAGTTGTGTTTAAACTGAGAAACTTTTAAAGTTGCGTCCAGTAGGTGATGCTGAGGAGTACCTTAGCTTTTTCACAGCCCTGTTAATGACAACTCAAACTCTGGTTCCCTCCGTCATGTTAAGTGGGTTAATGAGTGTCTGTGCATTTGTTAAAAGCTAGGGCAAAAAGCTAGTAAGGTCATGACTTTGTGCAGGCCATGACAAAACACTTCACTGGCCAATGCTTTACCAGAAGCTCTAACTAAGACAGAACAGTTGCTGATTTTGCAAACATAGAAAACATATGGATTGTGTTCAGCAGCAAAGAATGAAATAGTAACATGTTACAAATACACGTTAGTCTCAAGGCTGTCTTGGTGAACCTAGTGTTTAGTTCTAATTAGTGTCACGTGTGGTTTTGGGTTAGCCTGAGCTGTGGGGGCAGGACTAGAAGCTAAAATGCTGATAAATTGAGAGTGTATCCACTACAGAAATCAGTGTGCTTGCATTTTCTGATTTGGAATTTTCTTCTGCTTGGTTAGGTAGGTTTTCAGTTTAATTTAATTTTGCTTAGACTCTGTTAGGCTCAAAGCTGTCCGGAACTAGAACTGTGAACCTGCTTCTGCAATTTCTATCTTTTTTAGGTATCAGCACTGACTCTTGTTTTTGGCAGTGTCTTTGCTGAAGAGTAGTTTGGACTAGCTAGGCTTCAATCTCTGAGTGGACAACAAAACACCTTTTGTCCCTGAATAAAAGCATCTGCTAAATGCCATAAGTGTAAATGTAAATGTGGCAGCGGCAAGGAAAATCTCCCTAAGAGCAAGAGGAAGAAACCTTGAGAGGAGCCATAACCTAAAAGGCAAACCCATTCTCCTTTAGTTGACACCAGATAGCAAAGCAAGAACACAAAAGCAATATGAGCTATGAGAATAATTAATAACCCCAACAAACAATGAATAAAAAACAGAAATCTCATCACTTATTATGAATTGATCATACATGTACAGAGATCAGTGAAATCTTCCACACAATACTTAAGAAACTGAAACATAAGGTTGATGTAATTGAGAGTCTATTTACAGCTAATCCTGAAAGACACTCAGCATGCAGGTCAAATAATAGGGCTGAATCATTCTTAATATAGTTTGCACTCATATATGTCATAGCCATATGCTCAAAGAACTTGTTACAAGTGCTGTTTTGTGTCAGTTGTTATTTTTACCATAAAAATAAAGGTTCCTAAATGGTTCTTAACTTGGGCATACAGATCTAGGATAAGCCTATAATTGGTATAGAATTTTACATTACATAGAGGTTCTTTGAACTTCTGAAAGGTTCTTTACATTTATGCTTTCATTTGCAAAAATAGTTCTTTAAATAACTATCCAATGAACAGTTCTTTAGCCAACCAAAAGTGTAAGTGTCAAAAGTGGAAAACCTTGTATTTTATGGTATTCATGAATAAAGCTATGTGACTCCTGTGGCCATTAGAATCAGTTAATGAGGGACCCTAAAAGTAGCTGTATGAGTTACTCACAGAGGTCCCTCTGCAATGTTGTAGATGTCAGTGAGATGAATGACCTGGGTCTGAGAGCCAGAACAATTACCTGGTCTCTCGTCTCCTAATACCACTCATTCTCTTTCTCTCCACCCCTCCTCTTCCCCGTCTCTTTTTAGTTTTATTTAATTCAGAGGGCCTTATTGGAATGGCTGTTTTGTAACAAAGCAAATCAGATGATGACAGTAGGGCTGAGCATTTTAAACAGTTATGCAGTTTAATTATCACTGGTGGTTGCCATTTGTGCCTTTATAACCATCTTTTCAATGTTTCACTTGTTACATGTATGAGGAACACAAAGAACATGAATGATGACAGCAGGAGAGTTTACAGTGACAGTAATAATGGTATCTAAAACAAATGATCAGATCTAGAACATTCTCTCTCTCTCTCTCTCTCTCTCTCTCTCTCTCAAAGTGTCTCACTTTTTATCAGGGTTGAAATAGATACTGAAAATTTTGTAGTTAGCTACTTTGTAGCTACTTTCCCAGAATTTGTAGCTAGCTACAATTTAGCTACTTTTCCAGAAAAGGTAGTGGCTATTTTAGCTACTTTTTGAAAAGTAGTGCACTTTTAGCTACTTTCAAAGCGCGATTGTCAGCATGTTTGTGAATCTCCCCCTGACACACCAAACAAGCCCAACTGATAGTGTAAACAAGACACTGCATTTAGTCATTTACAATTGAAAAGCTGCAAATATACAAAAGATCACCAAAAAGTGAGTTTATGTGTACCCAACAATCAAACTTACACAACCAAAGGTGTGAAATCCAACAAAAATTTAGACTAGGTAAAGGCAAAGTCAATCATTCCAGTTTTTTTCTGACAAAAATGAACAACAATAACTGGATACAAACCACACAATTTTGTGCAAAGCATTGTCAACTGTTAAAAATAAAACTGCTCCAATTTAAACTGCTCCAATTTTGACCCTGGCTCTGCGAAGTACTATTAGTAATACTCTATTATGAAAATGTTTTTTCCACTTTAGCTAAGGCAGGGGTCGGCAACACGTGGCTCTGTTACGGCTCCAAAGCAGAACGGGATTTTTAGGTAAAATAACATAATCATTCTTTGCAGATAAAGCTCTGCTGATCGTTCTAACACAGTTTTAGCAATAAATGGTCTTAAAAGCTGGAGTTAACGTATAACTGCTAATAGGTCCGTAACTAGGATCAGAATTTTTGTGAGGTCCATTTTGCAGAAATGTTACTTACATCTGATTGTGATTAAAATAACTACCAAATATGAGTACTACAGCAACAATACGTTTCTCCTTTTGTTTTTTTTATTCAATCACTGCTCCTTTTTTACCCATCTATAACTATTATGCACCTTTTTCTTTCATTTCTTCCTTCTTCACCCCTTTGTTCTTCCATCAACTGCTATTAATGTTCCATAGACTTATTTGACTTCAATTGCCCTGTTTGTTTAATTAACCACTTTTTCAGGCGATAGTTTCACTTTGATTTTGTTTCATTTATCTCTCTCTATATTTGCTTGTCTCTTTTGCATCTCTGTAGTCACTGATTATTGTAAAAGCACACATTAAACATAAGTTGTAAAAATGCTGTCTGTGCCAAAGCCCAGCTAAAGGCAAAGACGGCTACTCATATAGTTAATGAGACAAAATATAGTCTAATGTACCTGCTGATTTCTTAATGTTTGCTACATGATCCTATACCTTCAATATGCTGGTTAACAGTGAATTTTCTCATGTTGCTTGTAGTCTGTTATGAGTACGTAACACAATATAACTTTAATTTCACATTTAATCTCTAATATAGCCTATTTTGGAGCCTGTAGCCTAAACTGAGCAGCTACTGGAGCTTGACTAAAGCATGCTGATTTGGCTAGCCACATTATGAGCATTCCAAGCAAAAAATGAAATATAGGGTTTTCATTTTACAATCTTAATGTGTTAATTGTGCTCATAAACTCTCTGCTAGCTATATTTTTGCCATAGCGATGTTATGTGTTAGCTTATAGCATGTGTGCTGCATACCTGAACATCTCAAGAAGTCAAAGTTACTTTGCTTCTCTGGGCTGTGTAGCGTCTCGAACAGAGACGAACAGAGCAGGTAGTTCAGTCTATGGCCGAGCCACAGCTGTACTGAGGTCAGCTGAGAACCTCTCCCTGCTCGCTGTGTAGTTTCATCGCTTTTTGAATCTCATAAAACCCTGAGAAACTTCGAGGAGCTCGGAATCGTAACTCTAGTTACGAACATCACTGATTACTGAAGTAATTGCGGACAGCAACAATTAATAAGCGGTGATTGGAGGGTTGAGAAAATAACGGAGCTTGGCGGATTTTGATTGGCCATAATTCAGTAACAGCGCTCACAGAGAGCAAATCAAATTTCATATAAAAAATGAGGCATAAAATTCTGTCCCCAGATTTAAGACAAACATCAATACTTTGGAGACGAATGGACTTATTTGCATTTATAATCACTCCAGCTGGTTTCCGGATACGTTTAATCTGCAACGAGGAACTGTCAAACACTAAGTCGTGAAGTCAGCTTCTCGTTCAAATTCTCCCGTTTCACCTTAAATGGCGCAGCAGTAACGGACATTCTGGCGCCTCGTGCACCATGTAAGGTGGAACGGGACAACTCGAACAAGAAGCTGGTAAATGAAAATCTGACTTCAGCCTCGGAAAAAGTCGAACGTTCAGAGACATTTTACATTTTAAAGTTTCCTGACTGATGTGCGAAAGAAGCGGCTACAGCTGACCTAAAGCTTAAAGCAGAGCAAAGTAAGTCTGCGTTTTCGTTTATATTATGTTTTTTAGCCTATACTAGCACATTAGCACACACAGAGACTTATTTACAGCCAAGATGGTAAAACAGATATAAAATGGTTCGGGTGCGACCCCTGAGCTAAGCTTACTAGTAAGGGGTGATCAGAGTAGGGTCTGACTGCAGAACAGGAGGCAGCAGTTCCAGGACCATATGGTTTCGCAACACTGCTCCCTAGCAAAGTGGATATAAGGACCGCATTTAACACGTGGAAAAGATGGATGATGACAGTCGGAGTGTGAGCACAGAACGTGAATCAGGTTTTATATAATTAACGTTAAAACGTGTTTTGAATTATCATTATATATGGCCTAGCTGTGCTGAAGAATTTATCCTTGCAGCAGGCTGAGCAGGTCTTCCTCTGTGCTCCAGTTTATCACCACAGGTAAGAGTAGAGAATGTAATTGTTTTTACATAATGCCATAAAATATTGGTCAGTGCTTTAAATTAAAAAGTTAAGTTACTTCTGTCTTTTTACTATTTCAGTGAAGTGGAGGAATTTAACAGAGTGATAGATAAACAATTGAAGAAAGAAGGGAGACTATTCCACTGGTTGGTACTGCTGTAACCTAATTCACAAAGTGGGGTTTGAGTAT